TTAGGGTTTAGGGCTTAGAGTTAGATTGGGGTGTATATTGGGGGGTTGAGGAATTTAGGGGTCCCTTCTTAGGAGTCCCTGTGAGAAGGAGTATAGGAATTGAAGGTTTTGGAAGCTACCATATTAGGGCTTATTTACGGAGACTACCATGTCGATCTGTCACTGTTCAATAAGACATTTGAAGTATGATATTCTATGATCAGGAAGGAACAGTAGGAACTTTGACAAGACCTGCTAACGGTTTTCGGCTTCCCTAAACCCTAAACCCTAAACTGCGCATAAACAACGAAGATCTAGTTCTGATCGTCAGGCACACGCTTGAGACAAGGTTGTCGGAGCATCAATTGCAAAGGGCCGTGCAGTTGTTGCGTGATCGCTGCGGCGGAGCTGCTGCCACCGCAGCCGGACGAGGTGCGCGGAGTCGCTCCAGGAAGCAGCCCTGTCAAAACCCGCGTATGCAGGCCCAGAGGCGCGGCCCTGACTCTTCATACGTGCTCTGCCACGGACTTAGCCTCAGATGAGCGACAAGTGCACTAACCCGCTCAAAAGGGCTCCCATCGTGTCCCCGCAACACGCAATCGGCTCTTCAATGCACGCGAAGGATTACTGGCACGTGCCATCTCTCTGGATGGTTGACGGCCAGAGTGTGGAAACCAGTGCTAATCTTGTCCGTCTGGGATTAACTTTCGTGAGTGTTTCAGTGCAGATACAGCAGCGTGGCAGTGTTTAGCATTTAGGTTTTAGGGGTTTAGGGGTTTAGGGTTTAGAGTTCCCAAAAACATGCAATGGTTCCCTTAACCCCGTTGATTCTAACACTGCCTCCTAATATTCAAGACTCGCCATAGCACGGGCAAGTCAGCATAGCTTATGGCAGCCCAAACCTACTGCGGGACAAGCCCCACATTAAGCGGGCGGTGTGGGTTTCATATCTCAGGAGGCGTTGAACTCAAAAATTAGTGAATCCCATAGTAGTTTCCATTTTCTTTTCCACTATCCCCTACATACCCCCAATATACCATAGTAGTTTCCATTTTCTTTTCCATTATTCCCAAACAGACCCGACTTTGAGCCAGGGAATCTGCTCAGCGCCGGCGTAGAGCCGCTGCGGCTCTCCACCTGTACGGCGGGCTGGGGGTTGGGGTAATCAGGGTTTAGGGTTTAGGGTTTGGGGATCAAGGTTTAGGGTTCAAGGTTTGCATTCGGGCTCGTTGGGAGAGAGTTTAGAGGTTCGACTCCTGTCCACCCCCCCCCATCACTTAGTGTTCTGGACTAGACTTTGGGAACTTTGGAGGTCCCATGAATGAACGGGGGTTGGGGTTCAGGGAAGGACTCAGCTGAGTTGAAGGCTCTTTTGGGAGGCTCATGTTCTTGTTCAGGCTTTAGGGTTTAGGGTTCTTAATGGAGGCTAGCCGTTCATGTTGGGATAATGGAGAATTAAATGGAAAAGAACATGGAAAATGAAATGGACACTGGGATTATGTAGGGGTAGATATAGGGGTAGGAGCTCACATGATGTTAATAGCCTGTAAAGTTCATGTAGGAATACTCGTATGCAGCCACTGTGACTCTCTGTTCAGGGCATGGGGTTTAGGGTTAGGGCTTAGAGTCTGGTATCATGATTGTTGAGGTTGCCGTTAGGATTTGTGCCCTTGCCGTTACTTCAGCGGCATGACACCCGGATCATCCGAATCCACCAGTGGTCTGTCTGCTACTACTCAGGTATGCTGCAAAGCCTTCATGTTAATGTCCGGTGCTCCTACTAATCCTTACTCAAACCCTAAGGGTCCAAGGACCCAAATAATAGGGTTTTAGGGCCCAAATACCCTATTATTTGGGTCCTTGGACCCTTAGGGAAAGCAACGCATCCTGCGAGATTGGCCGCAAGTTTTCCTGGCCTCACGCGGCGCGAGCCCTTTGCTGCCGACTCCAAGCCTTCGCGCCCGAATTCCTCAAGGACGAAGTGTGTAACGTGGATACACATGGGGGGTTCCCAAAATTAGGAGTACCTTTTTGGGGATCCGTATAGTAAGGATTATAGTATTTTGGGGTCTATATTGGGGTCCCCTTATTTAGGGAAACTATCACACAGGGGCGGCTCGGTCAGCTTGCACGTTTAGAGTCAATGGGAAGGCTGATTTTTTGGGGAACTTTTCCAAATAAAACCTATGAATCCGCAGATCCTAACCCTAACCCCTAAACTTGATCCCGACCTTTATGATCCCCATGTATTACTGGAGTCCCTCGGTTGGACAGAGAAAATCCTGCACCACATCAGTATTGTCCCCAATGTTTTGTACTAGTGCTATTTGGGGTGATGCAAGATTTGTCCATCCACAGTTATTTAGGGTTTCGGGCTTAGGATTAAGGGGTTGGGTTTGGGATTTAGGACTTAGGGTTTGGGTTTAGGATATTGGGAAAGGTGTAGGGTTCAGGGTATAGCGTTTAGGGCTCATGGTAGGACTCCGGAGCTGTAAGACCTGTTCATGGTTTTAGTATCACAGCTTGGGGGTTCTGAGAGCCAAAAAAATGTGGCTCGTAAAGGGTCTATAAACGGTGGCTGAACGTCTTCGAAATTAATGGCGCGTAGGTTGCTTGAATGGGCTCTACACAGGCTTCAAAGAATCTTTCATCTGTGCATTTTACTAAAAAGCATGTGTTCTCGCACCACGGAAAATGAACATTGAACCCTGGTATGTGCGACCCATACTCTCATCCTGGTAGAAATCATCCCCACTAACGCAGGTCTTAGCGTCGGGAAGAACTGCTAACTAGGCCGAGCTTCTAGACTTCCCACACATAACTCCTTTTCAGCCACCCTGTGCTGCAAAGGAGTTGCCCCCGTCATACGGCCTCCAGCACCTAGACTTGTGGCTCAGCGGAAGAGGGTCAGCTTAGTACTGTACGAAGGAAGAGAAGTCCATGTAGGATATGGGGTGTTGGTAGATTGGACATACGGATTATTCTGCATGGGTTCCTTTGTGTTAGAGGATAGTTCGGGCTAATGAAGGCTAGAAGCTGGGCGGCTAGTGCAAGGGAGCCCATGAGTTCTGGGGCATTTGCAGCCGGAGGCCCTGAATCCCTTCTCATTGGAAGTCCTCAGTAGGTCATAGCCTATGAACCACCCGCCCAACCACAAAACCCAAACAGGGTCAAATTGAGGGTTCCAGGACATTCGGGTGTTCCGGTGGGGGTGGTATGGTGTCTTATCTAGGATCTTTTGTCAAGGATGTCCATCTACCAGTTTTGAAGAGCGAGGCCTCCATTTCCATGGTACTACAGGATAGTCCTTGCATATGCGCCATTGTCTAAACTCCTAGTATCCCCCTTAATAGCCCTTATAGTAGTCCCCTATATAATCCCCTATATAACCCCCCTTTAAGGAGTTTAGACTACAGTTCATATGCCTGGGTTCTCGGAAGGATCCCCATCTTCAGAAGCATGCATGGCTTACACTTTGGGGCCAAACGGGGTGTACTATTTGGATTTAGGCGGAGCCGGTCCACGACAGTGGCCATGATCAAAGTTAGTGGAGGTACCCCTGAACCATACCAGGACCCTAAAGCAGGTAAAGTAATGGCCCCAAAACCTTTCAGATAGCCCAAAGCTTGAGGTACCCATACCATGAACGCCTCTCCCCTCAGTATGGCTTCATGACGTCTCGAATAGACCTGATTTCGCCCCAAAAGTAGCTCCCAATCCACAAAATCCCAAAGGCATACCTCCACAGAATCCTGCGTAGGGTGTTATATGATTACCCCGAGTTCAGAATCGAGTCGAGAAGACAATAGGAACTAAGGCTGAACAGATATTTGTGGGATGTCTAGTGTACAGTGTAGAAGTTTGGATAGTTACCAAACTATTTCCTTATGGCGTTCATATGGTTACAGTATAATCTACCCATTAAGCCTGAAACGCTGAACCCTACCCAATTCAATTTGAATTACCCCCCACGTTATCCTTTATTTAGCATGCCGAACCCTTCCTTCATGGCTCGCTACCATAGTTTAACTGTTTAGGGAGTTTAGGGTTCAGGGGTTAGCTTAGGAGGAGTGGGGAGGGAACACAGGTACCATACTTGAAGATTAAATTGGGACCAATATAGGAATCTACTCCCGTCTCCTATCCGAACCCCTACCCCGCAAAACAAAAATCTAAATGGTGTAGTAGCTTCCATTTTCTTAGCCACTCCAACACTGAATTGCATACCCTGTATAACCCCTATAAGCAGTTTGAAAGAAGCCGCGTCTAGAGCTGACGCTTTCTTTTCCACTCCCCCTTAAGCTCCGGTCAGCTTTACATCCTAAGCCCTAAACCCTAGACCCTGAACCCCTAAGCCCTAAACTCATGGCATAGGCCGCCCACCTTCTATGGTGAGCAGGTCGATCCAATACGCTCGCCTGCCTTCCCACAGCCAGGCGCGCTGTAGCACCCACGAGAGGCCAGGCACCTGAAAAAGTTCTCCTCGACACCAGTACTGGTCCCTTATAAAGTCAATACCCTAAGCCCTGTAGCCCAAACTTTGGGCGGGGCTGGCTGGTTTTTTCCAGGGTGGATCCTGGGAGGTTTGGGAAGTCCAGGCCCTCCTCTGCGAGCGAATTTCCCCAAGCCTCCTGCAAACTGGGCCTGGCAGGGCGGGCCTCCACCAGAGCCTCTGCCCAGGCCTCAACGCTCATTTTGGAAGGGCTGCCAAGGTCCCAGACCCCTGAAACCTTTGAAGGGTTCAGGCCTGTTAGAGTTTCTTTCAAATCGAAGAGGCCTCCCTCAGGGTGAAAGCCTTTGACCATCCTCCAAAAGGCCTGCAAGAAGGTTTGAGATCCCTTCAACAACGAAAACACCAAATGACATGAATTTGTGTTGTTGACCAAGATGGACCTATCTGAGTTTAGACCCTAAACCCTAAAAAGAGTAGGTTTGGGTGGTTTGGCCGCCTCACACGGCGTGGGGTGGGTGATTGGTTAGATGGCCTTCTACAGTCAGGCCATGGCAACACCTCGCATGCAGCCATGCACTTGAAGAGTCCGTGACACCTAATCATCACTGTTTGCACGGTAACTCACAGCAAACCCTAAACCTTAAACCCTAAACTCTAAACCCTAAACACTACAGCCTAAACCCTAAACTAAAAGCCCTAAACCCTATATACCCCAATATACCTACCCCTTATGTACCCAAGCTTTCGAGGCTGGGCTGCAGCGTGAAGTTCGACGAGGGAACCTACGAGGCCCGCAAGAGTCATCGCAGCCAAGTAAGCAAAAACGCGCTGAAAGGAGTATGTAGGGATATAAAAGCGTATATACGAGGACAGAAAGTGCAACCTATCCTATGAATTTCCTGAACCCTACTTGGAGGGTCAGGGGGACTTAGTAAGTAGGTTAATAACCCCTACCTATAACCCATATACACACCCTAGTTATCCCCATTATTAACCAACTTACTAAGTCCCCCTGACCCTCCAAGTAAGCCCTAATGGAGGTTTCAGTGTGGTCACCTCTTGGGCCTTTTCGCCTTCTTGGAGCCTTTTTTTCTTGGTAGGGGGTTCGCTGTAGCTGCTTGTCCTGGGTCTCTGAAAAAGGGCCAACGACATCCAATCAAGAAAGACGCGTATATAAGCCTAGGATGTCCCCTGTCAGTGTCACTCTTCCTGACAATTATGGCGAGGACATCTGTTAATGTCACTACTGCTGCAAATATCCTACTCATTTCCCCATTCAACAGCATCGCTTGATCTGAATAGCAGCGCTGTTATTGTTACCGCTAACCCCTACTTTAAGCTGCTAAACCTTAAACTGTCTGTTGCCATGACAGTTTAATCTTGGAGACAGACAACATCGCCGAGTCTTGCAACAATGTGGTATCAATCACTACATTACAGACCAAGGTGTTGAATTCGGGGTGTGCCAGGCCCCCAGGCTTTCTGCGAGCTGTCTGCTGATCCCAACCCCCCAAACCCCAAAGTCTAAACCTCTTCATGGGCTGGACCCTACACCCTGAACCCTAAATCTAAGGTTGGGAGTTTGAGCCCCCAGCATCGGCCCCTTGTTTTTTTTCCAGGGGGTTGTAGGAGCCTTGAGGGTACACGAAAGCAAAATGGTACTTGCTCAAAATACTTATCCCCAAAACTGACCACAAGGTAGGATGTTGGGTGTATGTTTTAGGGTTCGGGTTTAGGGTGGTTCCCGTTTACATTGGTATCTCCTTTTCAGGATTCAGAGGTGTATCCCCAACGGCCCCCAGGGTTAAGAACCCATACTAAACACCCATGATTGGAACCTTACAACCTAGGGTTCCCTCGACAAGTAATTCCTACCTTGGGCCTTCAATGTTTGTAAGTAACACCTTAATAGCCCTAATATTGAAACCCCTCACTCGCCTAATACTTGATGTTCTCAACGTATTGTAGTATATCACAATAGCAAGATTCAGTGTTAGGGAGGCGGGGTGTAGAGGGAAGGATTAGTACGTACTCCCAGCACTTTGAGAAGCACACACGAAGCTCTGAAACCCAAGCTCTTAAACCGAAACCCTATAAACCTTCAAACCAAACCTCTAACCCCACACCCTAATCTTCACCCCTATACCCGAAGACCTGCATAATCCCCGGATTCCCATACATACCCCCCATTATCCCTACTATCCCTGTACTCCCTGTGTACCCTGATTTAAGCTTCTTCCCTTTTCCCCCAGGACGGCTCAGGCGCGGACTTTCGCGACGCTAGATGTCTTGCCTGGGCTATGGGCGATGAGGCGCGTCGTTTGTTTGGCGTTTCGGGAGGGTTAGGGTTTAGGGTTTAGGGGTTTGGATTTTGTTTGGCTAGCCTGGACCATCCAGCTAGGATTGGAATAATGGAGAATCAGCTGGAAAAAAGAAAATGGAACAGGGAACGAGAAATACTGGTTCAAAGGGTATGTTTATATGCGAGGCTATATCATATGGATAAAGAAATTTGTGAATGTATACGTCTATGTGCATATTTAGATATATACATATATATGTAACAGCAATCACTTGGGCTTACATGGACCCTCCAATGCAGGTCGTTTTCAGGTTATGTACTGTACCATTTGTTGGTTTGGAGTCTCACCAAGACGCACAATCACAGGCACTGCATGGGGAGTCTAGACAGGCAGGAACGGACGCATTTTGGAACAGAAAACATCCGGCTCAGTACAGGTAGCTGGGGTCAGGGATCACAAGATCTGTAGTTGACTTGTGTGTGACATGGTAAGTGTCCCTGAGAAGCCGCTCTCAGATTTATAGTGGGTCTTGTACTAGGATTGAAGGGCCATCCCCCATGTATTGCTGCATTTCTGTTGTGTGGAAGGGATTGGGGTTGCAGAGCTTCAGCTTTGGCCTGGGAGAAATTATTGATCAGGCTTCAGAACGTAGAGGGCTTCAGTCTAGGTTTTGGCTCGAACTTGTGGCTTGGAGTTAATGCACGTACATGGGTAGTTCCCAAAATTAGGGTCCCATTTTGGTACCCCTAGATATCAGATGCCTTAGCATAATCTATAGCCGAAAGGGGCCCAGAATTTTGAGAACAACCCACATGAACTGTAGCATCCCAAAGATTTTCACGATGCGGATCTGCTGTATGTCTGCCCAGACACACATAGGCTAACGTAATGAAAAGGCCTAGATAATTATCATTATTGTGGTCCTAGATTCCTTGTAACATTATGCTATAGAGTACCGCAACTAAACCTCAAAATGATGTTGGCAGTTATTACCTGTGGCTCCAATAACCTACAGTTTAGTAGTAAGTACCCCTTAATTCGTAGGTATAACCCATAAAACTGTAGGTTATTGGGGTTACAGGTTAAGGCTGCTACAATATTTGCCCCATCCAAAGCATTTCCACCACCTCGCAAGTCAGGTATCAATAACCTACCGTCCGCCTTAAGTAGATAGAATATGGCTTTGGGTATAGTATAATAAGATCCCCCTATATACGCCATATTCTTTCTACTTAAGGGGGACATACTTAGACCTTGTTGCTGCATATTTATTTGGGGCATGGGTTGGGATTGTTTGCGTCAGCTGCCACAGGTTTTAAGGTTTGGGTGGCAAGTTTCGGTCGGGCCCGATGGTACAGGTGGCGCCAAAACAATGCCCAGCAACGGGGCATGAGACTCAAGCTTACTGGTGGTTAGCAGGGAATAGGGGAGTATGTCATATGGCGATCACGTAGGGATATAGAAAATCCTAGACCCCCTACTAACCAGCAGTATGCAAGGGCTGTGGTTCAAGGCTATTAAAACGAATTCCAGATTCGAAGCCCCACTTGTTCTTAAATGCTCAACATTTCACGTACTTCAGGTTCTCCTGCCAACCCCCCTTTTCTACCCCCACCCAGGTTCCCCCTTATCTCATGAATATTTCACGCTGCAGTAAATGGATACCTGAAAAAGTCAGCGTCTTTTGAGAGTACCGGGACCCCAAAAGTAGGTAAAAGAATGGTTCGGAACGCATTAGAACAGCCAAAAGACCAAAGCTTACGTAACCAGACTGGGAGTCCACCAGCAGGCGCCCGAAATCCTCGATGGCCGCACCGGACGTTTAGCTGACACCTGCCACAATTCAAGCAGCGGAGTACGATTGAGGGTTTAGGATCTAGGGCGTAGGGTTTTAGGGTGTAGGATTTAAGGTTCAGGGTGTTAGCCCTATAGCCCCCCTCTAGGTAGATAGAATACAGCTTTGGGCTTTGGGTATAGTAAGATCCCCATATATCCCATATTCTATCTACCTAAGGGGGAGTATACCCCTAAACCCTAAACCCCAAACCCCAACCCCTAATCCTTAAACCCTAATCCCTAAACCCTAAACCCGATATTCTATACTGTACCAGTATTGAAAACATTCGGCGCAGACCTCAGGACCACGGAAGCCAGCAGACTAGAGCAGAGTATTAGAAACTGGCTATATGAGCTATAGTCTACTTCCTCCAAGGGGGGACATATAAGGGGGTATATAGGGGAGTACTATAGGGGTTATTAAGGGGTATGCTAGGAGTTTAGACTATGGCTCATATCATTTTTATTGTGTTTTAGTAAAACACAAAGAGTAGACCATGCTCAACAATGGCCCAGGATTATTTCAAGGTACATCCCGAAACCCCTAAACCCTACACACAACCCTAAAGCCGAAAGGACCCCCAGTCCTCCTCAGTAACTCCTAGGTTCCCTTCCTGACTGTTTCTGTAGCAATGATCCACCCTTTCTGCAGCAGTGATCCACCCTGAACGCTTTAACCCTGATAAGGCTCCCTCAGGTAATCTTGAAGTGCAGCCATCATTAGTTCAGGGTTTAGACCTTGTAGTCCCCCTTAAGTAGATAGAATATGGGGTATATGGGGATCTTATTACAATATGCCCAAAGCCATATTCTATCTACTTAAGGGGGACTATAAGGTTTGAGGGTTGAAAACGTACTGACTCAACCCTAGGCCCTGGGCTGCAAGTTTCAAACTCTCAAAGCACATGCACTCCAAAGCCAACCCCACACCCCACCATGTTTAGGGTTTAGGGTTCTAAACCATATAACCCTTAAAGCCTGAATGATGAAGGGATTCGAGCTATAGTCTACATTCCATATAGCGGGTTATATAAGAAACGGGATTATATAGGAGAGTATTGTAGGGCTTATTAAGGGGGATGCTGGAAGTTTGGACAATGGCTCATTTGGTTACCAGAGCCGCCAAAGTAGCGATCCCATCATAGTCATATCTCAGCTATAGGATCTGAAGGTTCAAAACCGTATATATACCCCCTAAACCCTATAGATTTCAAGCTTGCTTTAAATGTTGATTTTTCTTGTTCATTTGATTCTCCTTTATTCGTATTTAAGCCAGAGCTACATGCACATGGGCTCCTTGAGTTATCTTGAGCCTATGTTATCTGTTTTGTAGGTACTTGGACTCTTTGAGTAAGCTACATTCCCCAAAGTAAGTTAAGTGGGGTCCTTGGTTGGAGGCTTGGTGTGTTAAAAGCCCGCCTGTTATCTTTATTGTCTAATCCCTAATCTCTATCCTTCCTACAACATATACCTCAGCTTCCAAGTTTCATGTCCCGTGTTCTGTGCCAGTTGATGATCCACTTGAGCTTACCACACCTTCTTATTGCTACCCGGTCCTCAAAAAAGGTAAAAGCAATGGCCCCAAACACCTAACAATGGTCAAACAGAGGCCAGTATTCCATGTACTTTGGGGGCTCAGGTACATCCTAAACCCTGTATAACCTTCAGGTTATCAGTGTAAACCCTAAGCCCTGAACCACTCATCTCAGGACGGAATGCCCTCATCGCTTTGTAGCTCGCACCTGGCCAAACTAGGCCGGCCCTGGAGCGCGCTGCTCCCTGAGGCTTCTGAGGATATATCAGGAATGAGGGTTTAGGGTTTAGCCTTTGCCGATCTGCGGGCTAGATAGAATATGGGGTACATGGGGATCTTAGTAAACTATACCCAAAGCCATATTCTATCTACAAAAGGGGGACTATGTAGGCCTCCGCTCGGGTAAGGGTTTAGGTTTTAGGGTTTAGGGGTTCCTTGTACAACCCCTACAGCGCCCTCAGAGCTTCTCTACACAATCCATGTATGAGGCCGGTTTACGAGCAGTATCAAGTGTACCTGCTCTGAGGGTTTCTTAAGAATGGCCTTTTTGTTAGTCTGCGAGACCCTTGTAGTTCCCAATTGCCTCAAGGTACCGAAGGGTACCCCAGTTTGAGAAAGTCCCAAAACCCTAAACCCTAAACCCTGGTCCAAGCCATACTTTGAAAAAGCCCTAAGTTGTTTGCAAACAATCTTTAGGGTGTAGGTTTTAGGATTAAGGTTTAGGGTTTAGCGTTTAGGGTGGAGGTTTAGGGTTGATAGGGTTAAGGCTTTCCTGGACCAGGGGCCGAAAGGCTCCAGTAACAACCCCCCAAACATACCCACTGAAAGCTTGCCCTTGCGAAACCCTAAACCCATAAGGGTCCCAACAAGAAAATGACCAGTGACCAGGCGACTGTTGCAGATCGACGGCGGTCACATGCGGAAGCAAAGTCCCCCGTCGACAATGATACAGCAACACCGTTTAACCCTAAGCTTCGGATATACAAGTGCCATTATGCGATCATCCTTGCTATATAACCAATGTTTCCATTTCATGTTTCAGGTTTTCCATTTGATTCTCAATCATCTCCGTACATTCCCCCATACAAACCGCACAACCGCAGTAAAGCCTAAACCTGATTTAACCCTAAGCCATGGGGTAGGTGTTCTTACTAAGTGGGTTAGTATTTGGGATAAATTGATGGAGCCAGGAAGTATAGGGCTGCATCAACATTTTGCCCCAATATAGACCCCAGTATACTTTAGTCCTTAGTCTAGGTACCCCCAAAAAGGGGCCCCTAATTTTTGGACGTATACATATCAGCGTTGGACCTTGATGATGCAGCTTGTTTCTCCACTCTCGGCACATCTGTCTGCTGTACTTTTCAAGTGCTCGAAGTGATTTCTCTTTCCTTTCTAGTCTTTGCTTACCCGGACCCTCCAATGTAGTTCCTTCTTAAGTTGGGTATGCTTCTTGTTGGTAAGGATTCTTGCTAAGACCCTCAAAAAGGTCCTACATTGGACCATTGGAGTGTCAAGGTAGGGCTCAAAACCCTAAACCCCTACACCCTAAACCCCTACACCTTAAACCCTTAACCCCTAAACCCCTAAACCCTTAAACCCTAAATCCTAGATATAACCCGAAAACATCAACCCTGAGCCCTCTATGGAGCCCAAGCCCTGAAGCCCAAACTTTGCTGGTGGTTGGTAGGAAAGGGTTTAGGGTTTAGGGGTTTAGGGGTTTAGGGTTTTAGGGTTTAGGGGTTTAGGGTTTAAGGGTTTAGGGGTTTAGGGGTTTAGGGTTGAATCTACGTACTCCCTAGAATGTCTATGTAGGGTTTAGGGTTTAAGGTATAATCCCTGAATAATCTCTATATAGTTTATTTTGTTACTCCGGACCAACGGCCAGTAAGCAAAGACAGACTCCTTGCCGGCCTTTTCCAAGGCAACTTCTGCGAACTTATGTGGACGACCGCTGCTCCATCAGAGTGCCCAAAAGAAGCGCGCTTTTGAGGTTTGGGGTTCAGAGATTTAGGGTTTAGGGATATGGGGTTTAGGGATTTAGCGTTTAGGTGTTTAGGGTTTAGAGGTGACTAAGGCGTCCTCTTTGTGCGTAAGTACATATGTTTACAAAACATGACCATTAGGACATTCACATGTATGTCTATATACTGAATACTCTCCTGGCTATATGTTAGCATAGGTTATGTTTCTCTGTTTTGCTGGGTGTCGGAGTGAATACAGGTAGCGTGGCAGGGAGCATCTGTGAAACAGATAGGGTTTCATCAACTCTCGCACTCCTTGCTAAAGCACCAGTGAGTCATGGTTTAGGGTTTAGGGTTTAGTCGGCAGGGTCCCGCTAACATCCCTAAAGCCAATCGCGCAAGAGACTTACAAGTCGAAATCGACATGTACGGTGGCCGTTACTAGAGTTCTTGGTGGAATTCAAATCGTGCCTCATGCATCACCATCGTGATAGAGAGATGTCCGAACCCTACCTGCCCCGTACGTAGATTGCTGGAACCCTAAGCCCTGCACCCTAAATCTTCACAGATCAACCCTAAATCTTAATCCTAAACCCTATATCCTAAACCCTAAAACCCTAAACCCTCCCCCTCCGCCCCCCAGCTAGCTGAACAAAATCTGCGCTCACTTCAGAGTTTTGCAGAATTACCCGTGCAGAGTCCGAACAGAGACCGTCTTGATCCTGTCGTACTCTCGAGGTGCCCCTAGGATCTTTGAGGGCCCTTAGTTTTGAGAAGCCCCACTTGAAGGCTGAGAACGCGTAAGTCCTGCCGGAGTCCTCAACCTGAGTCAACTTTGTCCAAGGTCTATGGATCTGCGGGTCCGGCTTTACACTTCAAGGCTTTAGGCTTTACCTGTGGCTCCAATAGCCTACAGTTTAGTAGTAAGTACCCCTTAATTAGTAGGTATAACCCATAAAACTGTAGGTTATTGGAGTTACAGGTATGTCTATGGATTAGTTTGCGGGGTTGAGGCCTCAGTCGGAAACGGACTAACTGGGCTGCAGCAGGAACAGCCGAAAAGACCACCAAGCAGACCAGCCTTAGACCTGCATGTTCCCAACCTGAGACTTTGTAGTCTCCTTAAGTAGATAGAATATGGTACCCTAAACCCTAAACCCTTGGTGTATATGGGAATCTTACTATGACATTCGGCAAATTCCATATTCTACCTACTTAAGGGGGGCTCAAGGGTTTGGAGATGTGGTGTTTGTGTGTTCATGGTATGACGCCTATGGGCTAGGCCCTTTGTTTGGATGGTATTGTCGTAGCCTGGCCTGTGATTCCCTGCTTCTTTCCATGGACCTAGGGTTGTAACCCAGGGTTAGGGGATCCTTTCAGAGGACCCTAGGGGACTATATCAAGCCTATATTGAGGCCAATATTGGGGAAACCGTTTAGGGGTACGACCTGAAGGGTACAAACCTGGAACCCTTGATTCTTGAGCAAGATAGCTTTGGCAATCCCAGCTCCCAAAAGTAGGGCCCTGCATCTCTCAGGGCAGAATAGGGTCCTGATGTTATGGGTTGGAGCAGCCAACATCCCTTTACAGCCCAGGCCGTAAAATCCCTAAATCACTAGTCGGAGTGCCCAACCTTGAGACCTAACTAAGGAACTAACTTTTCAACCCCAACCCCTGCACAAACCCCAACACCGAAGTGACTGGCTCACGCGTTATCTACCTATTGCTCTGGGATAATTCATATCCGTACAACCCAAAATCATATCCCTAAACCCTAGACGCCCTAAACCCTAATCCCCAAACCCAAAGCCCTTAAGGTCCCTTACAGTACCCGACTCAAGGTCCGCCTTGTGCTGGCTCGAAACCGGCTAAAGGCGCTGCCAGCAGAGCTGGGCGCGCTACCGACTCGGAGTCGGACGTTGTAAAAGGCTTAGGGTTTTGGGTTTAGGG